ATAGTAAAGGCCTCCCTCTCAGCAGTGGTGGGGTCAGCAGGGAGGGGATCACGCGCAGGGGGGCGGGGGAGCAAGCCATCAAAATGCATAGCCAGGGAGTGTCCATCATGGCGCTTACCTGTCAGGTGCCGGCGGAGGTCGACGAGCCAGGCGGGGAAGTCGATCGCGTGCCCCTCAGCGTCCAGGTGAAGAACGGCGTCCGCCACCACGCAGTGTGACAGCGGCACAACAACACAGGTACACGGCGGCTCTCCGGCTAGGCGGCTCAGCGACTCGGCTGCACGGCGGCTCAGGGTCACGGCGGCGCAGCGGCTTGACTGCACGGCGGAGCAATGACACATCGGCTCAGGGAAGGGGCGCTCCAGCGGGGGAAGCAGGGCAGGCGGCCGAGGGCGCCGGAGGCGTGCCGGGCCGGTGGGACAAAAAAGGGCCGGCGGAGCGCTAGGGGCCAGGAGAGCGTGTCAGGAGCCGAGACGCGAGGAGCCAGCTAGGGCGCGAGGGGCCGACGGGGGCGTTAGAGGCCAGCTAGGGGGCAAGGGGCCAGCGAGGGCGCGAGGGACCGGCTCGGGCGCAAGGGGCCGGCGAAGGCGCGAGGGGCCAGCGAGGGCGCGAGGGGCTGGCTAGGGCGCTAGGGGCCAGATAGGGCGCAAGGGGCCGGCTAGGGCGCAAGGGGCCAGCTAGGGCGCCAGGGGCCAGTGAGGGTGCAAGGGGCCAGCTCGGGCGCAAGGGGCCAGCGAAGGCGCGAGGGGCCAGCTCGGGCGCAAGGGGGGCCAGCGAAGGCGTGAGAGGCCGGCGAGGGCACTAGGGACCAGCTAGGGCGCAAGGGGGGGCCAGCGAGGGTGCGCGGGGCCGGCTCAGTCGCAAGGGGCCGGCGAAGGCGCGAGGGGCCAGCGTGGACGCGAGGGGCCAGCGTGGGCGCGAGGGACCAGCGTGGGCGCGAGGGGCCAGCTAGGGGCGCGAGGGGCCAGTAGGGGCGCTAGGGGACAGTAGGGGCGCGAAGGGCCGACTACAGTGCGAGGGGCCGATTGGGGCGCGAGGGGCCAACGAGGGCACTAGGGGCCCGCTAAGGCGCAAGGAGCCAGCTAGGGCGCGAGGGGCGTTCGAGGGCGCTAGGGGCATCGAGGGCGCGAGGGGCTAGCGAGGCGCGGTAGGCTAGCGAGGCGCGGTAGGCTAGCGAGGCGCGGTAGGCTAGCGAGGCGCGGTAGGCTAGGGTGCGGGGCAGAAGCGGGTGGGTGGACCTACCTACTCATGATACCATGTCAACTAGAAAGAATGATATGTTAAATTATATATTGTGTTATATAATTGTTAGGCTTGGTAGGTTACCAAACTATACTGTAAAGGGTACAACACCCCTCGTATCCCTTTCTCTTCTTTTCTAGCCCTCTTTTCTCTCATCAAATCTCCCTCTCCTAGTTCTCCTAGCTCCTAAAACCTCACGCCATTTCATGGCCGCCCATCCTTCCTAGCTAGTCTTTTAACATGGTATCAGAGTGGGTTCCCCCTCCCGGGCCTGCTCCCCATGCTTCCACCGCGTACTCCTTCTTTCACTCGCGCGCTGCCATGGCGGCCGCGTCGAGCTGTTGAGACGGCGTCGTCATGCCGCTGGCCGCGCCGTGCCGCGGTCGTCCCAACGCGCTGCCGTGGCGTCGCGCCGTCGTGGCGCTAACGCCGCTCTGTGACGGCGTCGTCACCGCGCGACGCCTGTGACGCCGCTAGATCTGCCGTCCCGCCACTAAGCATCGCGCCATCCATGGCGCGTCGCTGAAGACTCGCCTGCCGTCCCGCCAGTAAGCGTCGCGCCATCCATGGCGTGTCGTTGAAGACTCGCCTGCCGTCCTACCAGTAAGCGTCGCGCCATCCATGGCACGTCGTTGAAGACCCGTCCTCCCCCCATTTTCCCCTCCACTGCCTTGCCATCTCCTCCTCGCCACAGCTATCGCCTGACTTCCGGGGGTCCTCACCGTCGTTGAGACTGGACACGCCGCCGAGAGGGTGGGGGCCGCTGCCGTCGCCGCTGCTGTCGCCGCCGCTGCTGTCGCCGCTGGCCATTGCCGCCGCACGCTGTCGTCATCGTCGCGGCTGCCGCCGTAGCCATCTCACGGGCCGTGGGATTGGCCCCACTGGAGTAGTCATGGCTGCTGCTTGAGAATGGGGGTGCTAGGTTAGGGGGTGTGGTTGTATGTGGGCTTGCCACTACCAAGCCTAGGGGGTGTGTTAATTTATATATTGTGTTATATAATTGTTAGGCTTGGTAGGTTACCGAACTATACTGTAGAGGGTACAACACCCCTCCTTGTATCCCTCTCTCTTCTTTTCTAGCCCTCTTTTCTCTCGTCAAATCTCCCGATCCTGGTTCTCCTAGCTCCTAAAACCTCACGCCATTTCATGGCCGCCCTTCCTTCCTAGCTAGTCTTTTAACATGATCATACAAGTGGAACATGTCAACTTATGCATATGATCTATATAGAAGTTATAGGCTAGACTGTGTGTGTTTCTAGTGAGTACAACCCAACAGGTATATGTTCTAGGTTTCTCCTTCTAGCAAAGTATTCACGTAATCTAACATGGTATCGAGTAGGTTAGGTCCCCCCTCCCGCTTCCGCCCACACCCTAGTCTCTCGTCCTCCCCTCCTCCCCTCGCCTCCTCCCTCGTCTCTTATTGTTGCACCTCCCCCGCTGTCTGACTACCTCCGTGCCGCTCGTCCCCTTGTCCCTCGTGTCCTTGCCTCTCTTGTTACAGACCCGTCTGTTCCTGTCTCTCGCCTTGACGCGCTTGTCGCTGCTGTCGCTGACTTCGCCTCTACCCGCCGCCTTGACTACGCTACCGCTCTGGTCTCTGACCCTGCCCGTCCTGCGTCCGTCGGGAGTGCATCTGCCCTTGGCAGTGATGTACTAGAGGACAAGCAGTACGAGCTTGCTTTCCTTTTCGAGGCCGCTCCCCATCTCTGCTCCATGCTCCTAGTCCCAGAGGGTGACCCAGACGCCTTCGACATCCCGACCCCTCGCACCTACGCTGAGGCCACCTCGGGACCCTGGGCCTCTCACTGGATAGCTGCCATGGAGCAAGAGATGGCATCTTGGAGGTCCACCAGCACTTACGTCGACGCAGTTCCCCCGCCTGGGGTGAACGTAGTCGATGGTCGGTGGCTCTTCAAGGTGAAGCGGCCCCCTGGAGAGCTGCCTGTCTTCAAGGCGCGCTACGTGGCCAAAGGCTTCAGCCAGCGCGAGGGGGTTGACTTCTTCCAGACCTTCGCCCTGACCCCGAAGATGGCCACTCTTCGGGCGTTGCTACACGTAGCAGCACAGCGCGACTACGAGCTTCACTCCCTCGACTTCTCTACTGCCTTTCTTCAGGGCAGCCTACATGATTAGGTCTACCTGCATCGACCTCAGGGATTCACTGGTACCTTCCCCCCTGGGACCCAGTGGCTTCTCCGGCGCCCGGTCTACGGCCTGCGTCAGGCTCCTCGCGAGTGGCACGACACGCTGCGTGCCACGTTAGCAAACCTGCATTTCTTTCCGTTCTCTGCTGACCCCTCACTGTTTGTGCATTCTGGCTAGACTTCGTTCTACATCCTTGTCTACGTAGACGACCTGGTCTTTGCTACTGCTGACAGGGACGCATTGGCCTCTGTGAAGGCCGAGCTGCTGAAGAGACACACCTGCACCGACCTTGGAGAGCTGCGTCGCTATCTTGGCCTGCAGATCTCCAGGGATAGAGCAGCATGCACCATCACTCTGATACAGTCACACTTGGTGCGTCAGGTCCTTCAGAGGTTCGGTCTTCAGTTCTCCTCCGCACAGCCCACACGTCTACCTGTAGACCATGGGCTCTCTGCTCCAGTTCCTGAGGAGCCAGTAGAGCCCAGTAGACCCTACGCAGAACTGGTGGGTTGCCTCATGTACCTGATGACTTGCACTCGCCCAGATCTTGCATACCCTCTCAGCATCCTGGCTCGCTTTGTGGCCACTGGCAGACACCAGCCACAGCACTGGTCGGCCGCTAAGAGGGTTTTGCGATATCTAGCAAGTACATCGGGCAAGGGGTTAGTGCTAGGAGGACGCGGGCCGGTGGTCCTCACTTGGCACACAGACGCTTCTTGGGCAGACGACTCTGAGACTCTCAGGTCGTCTCAGGGCTACTGCTTTAGCCTTGGTTCAGGTGCTACCTCTTGGAGATCCACTCGCTCGTCGTCTGTTGCTCAGTCCAGCTGTGAGGCTGAGATCTACGCAGGTGCCATGGCGGCACAGGAGCTCCGCTAGGTGAGCGGCCTAGCTCTGCCCCGGTCCTGTACGCTGACAACAGGGCCATGATCCTCCTGTGTCAGGAGCCTCGGCTTGAGGGCAGAGCGAAGCATATCCAGCTGCGGTACTTCCTCCTGCGCGAGCTACAACAGAGTCGCCAGGCCCGTGTAGTTCACTTGGCCTCCGGTGCCAACACAGCTGATATCTTTACTAAGGCGCTTGCGCCTAAAGATCATCAGTGGCACTGTGTACAGCTTGGTCTTGTTCCTGTAGCTTCTCATTTGCTAGGGCCATGATTGTGTACTCGCTACTATATATACCTGTCTGACTGGCCTTGTGGCTGGACTAGTAGTGCGGCACTGGCTTGCTTTAGTCTTGTTTGTACTCTTGCTGACTGGTCTCCGGACCCCTGCCTCAGTGGTTGGACTAGTAGTGCCACCCTCAGCTGTGTGCTTCTTGCTTAGCACCACCCCTTATCTAGCCTAGGGGGTGTGTCAACTTATACATTTGATCTATGTAGAAGTTATAGGTTAGACTAGGTGTGTGTTTCTAGTGAGTACAACCCAACAGGTATATGTTCTAGGTTTCTCCTTCTAGTAAAGTATTCACGTAATCTAACAGAACAATGGGGGATATATGTGTTCTGGTTGTACCCTCTAACAGCATACAACTATCTAGCCTATAACTTCTACATAGCAACATATGTATAAGTTGACGGTTGGTGCCATCTCTGTGTTCCAACATTTGATGCATGGATGGATATAGCTAGCACAGCAAGGCTTGTATACAGACTAAGACATGACATGACACAACAGAGAACCCGAAACATGAAACCAAAGCTACAGCAGTAACCTGTAAGGTCCACTAGGAAATGTGGCTTAAATAGGAAGTACATACATACATACCGGTACATGGTCAACAGACGACAGAGATATGGTGGACTAGATGGTCCTTCCTGTCGTTCCATCCTCCCTTCCATCCATGATCCATCCATCTGCCCACATGCCCCAATTACCATAGCACCTACACCGCTTGAGCTTCGCCTCTACTAGCAGCACCACCACCTGCACCCTCACCACAATTCCCTCCGCCACTAGGCACGCCCTCCCTAGCTTCCCTACGCATCCCGTCCCTCCCCTCCCCCGCCTTCCCCTCGCCTGCCTGCCCCCCCGCCTCCGTTGCTGCTGTGCCCTCTCTTCCCTTCACCTCCTCTCCTCCTATAGTGCCCTCCAGCCTGAGCCCGTCTCTGCGTGGCTCTGCAGACTGGTTGCCGTTGCCACCCGCAACTCCAGGAGCTGCATGCTTAGCAGCACCGGCTGCAGCTGCTGCCGCCTTGGGACCGCCTGGTGCCGCTGCCTCAAGCGCTGGGAAAAACGGCAGCAAGGAGGAGGGGAGAGTGGAGAAGCGGAGAGGAGAGTTGAGAGATAAGAAAAATGGGGGAGAGGAGAGGCGAGGGCGCGGGGGGGGGGGGAGGGGGGGAGGAGTGGTATTGCACTCAATTGCTTTTGAACTAGCATGCGCCATACCCACATAGTGGTCCCTCCCCCCTCCCGGCCACTCAAAACCTTCCCTACCTCCCAATAGCTTCCCTCCTTCCCTCCCCTTCTACTCCGCCTCTCTACTCCACCACCCCTCCAGACAACCAAGCCTCCCTTCCCCAACCCACCCACCCCTTCCCACACACAACCAAGCCTCCCCTCCCATACCCATACCCTGCGGGATCCTTCCTCCTCTCAGCAGTCTATTTTTTAGGCGCCTAAAAAATGCCGCCAACTTCCCCCCCCTGGCCCAGAACTCCTCCCAAACCCTGCAGTATCCTTCCCCCTCTCAGCACGGAGCTGGTGGCACTCGTTGCGCCCATGGATTTGCCTTTGAATGACTGCGAATTCCGTGCTTGCGGGCAACCCCCCCCTCTTCCCCCCCTTACTCCCCTTACCCCCCTCCCCCCTCCTCCTCTCCCCCCCCTCTCCGGCCTACCTGCATGGTGGCGTCACAGCATGGCACTGGTGGTGCTGGTGGCGTGGTGGTGCTGGTGGCACTCGTGGCTTTCCGTTAGATTCAGAAACCTTACTTGCAGACAAACCCCCCCCTCCCCCTCCCTTCCCCCTCCCTGCTTCCCCCACTCTACAGCCTACCCGCATGGTGGCGGCACAGCATGGCGCTGGTGGCGCTGGTGGCACTCCTGTCTCGCCTTTGAATTCACAAACCGTACGTGCAGACAAACCCCCCCTTACACACCCCCCTCTACCTGCATGGTGGCGGCGCAGCATGGCGCTGGTGGCGCTGGTGGCGCGCCTCAGAAGGGTGGTGCGGGGGCGAGCCAGGGACTGCGGCAGGCCCGGCTCTGATACCATGCAGCTGCTGTCCAGGGACTTGCGCCTGCCACTGCTGCTCCTGCTGCCCGTGCTGTCTAGGGATTTTCGACCGCCACCACCGCTGCCCATGCCACTGCTGCCGGTGCCACTGCTGCCCATGCCACTGCTGCCACCGCTGATGCCGAGCGAGCTTGTCAAGTGTCCTGCCACCTTCGGGCCCCCTTCTCCAGAGCTCCCTGCTTCCTCTCCTGGAGTGTGCTCCTGTGCTGGTTTGGACTGCTCTTGCTCGTGCTCTGGCTGGCTGTGTGTGTGAGTGTGAGGGAGAGAGAGCGTGTGAGTGTGTGAGAGAGAGAGTGTGTGTGGGGGAGGGAGAGGGTGTGCTACAAGAGTGCGGAATGCAGAGGACAGGTTAGAGATGAGAGCGGCAAAGGGGGCAGTGGGTGAGGTGGCAGCAGGAGCAGCAGTGGCGCTGCTGCTGCTGGCTGTGGATGTGTGTGTGGTTGTGGTTGCGGTTGTGGTTGTGGTTGCAGTTGTAGTTGCACCACTATTGTTGGGGAGAGAGTCAGAGGCAGAGGCAGAGGCAGAGGCAGGAACGTAGTAGTGAATCCAGGGGAAGGCCCAGGAGGAGGAGAAACCAGTGGCGCTGGCAGCACCAGCACCAGCAGCAGCTGCAGCTGTTGCCTTGCAGTCCCTCCCTGCCCGTGCATCCAGCAGCTCGGCTCGAATGTCCGCCTGCTCAGCTTCCTCGGCTGCTGCTGCGGCTGCTGCTGCCTGCGGCTGGTCCTCCCCCAGCCACCCGTCGATCACCGCCCGCATCGCATCGTACCTGGTGGTTACGAGAGCGGGAGGGAAGGAGAAGAAGGGTGGGGAGAGGGGACTTTCGAATGGACTCGGCATTCTCCAGCCACATTTTATTAAAAATGAATATATATATATATATATATGTATAGAGAAAAAAATACTATACAAATCTTTTGGTTTCTTCAAGTCTTGATGTGTTACTGCAAATTTTATTTCATTCAATTTGTTTAATATTTTTTGGCGATGTTATTTAATAATTGATGGAATCCATGAATACTATAGAACAGAATCAACCAGAAAGTACGTGGAAGAGGGGACTTTCGAGTGGACTATGCATTCTCCAGCCAACCCGTTCATTACCGCCCACATTGCAACGTACCTGGTGTGAGTTTGGGGTGCGGGGAATGGTGGGAAGAAGGAGAGAGCAGAGCACATACCCAGCGACAGACGTCTCGAATTGGAACCTCCATGTGTGCTGCAGTCTCTCCCCCCCCCCACCACCGCCACCACCATCCGTATGCGCCCCATGTGCTGCTGCTGCCTCCGCCTCGCCCTCCTCCCTCAGCACCACCTCCCAGGTCTCCAGCCCCAACTCCACACTCGCTGCATCTTTCCCCCCCACCGCCACACCTGCTCCCGCTGCCCCAGCTGCTGGTACTACTGTAGCTACTGCTGCTGCTGCTGCCTCGTCTGCCTTGACCACACCTTGCTCCCCAGTCACTGCAGAGGCCCCTTCCGTTTCGACTTCCTTTTCCCCTCCCACTTTCGCTTCCACTTCCTGGTTGCGTTTTCTCTCCTCTCCTTCCTCTCCTTCCTCTCCTTCCCTACCTCCCTTGGCATCCCCCTTCCCCTCCACCACTTCCCCCTCCTGCCTTGAATCCACCCCACCACCCAACCCCCTCTCACTCTCCCCCTCTGCCCGCTCCACGCCCATGGCAGCACGAGCAGCAGTAGCGCCAGCAGCAGCAGCAGAGGAGGGGCCAGCACCAGAGGGGGGGTGAAACCCCCGGGGGGAAACACCAGGAGAAAGCAAGGTGGGGAACCGCGGAGTGACCACAAGGGGGGCAGCGGCGGCCGAGTGGCGTGACAGCCGCTCTGAGTGCGACTGTGGGTCCGGGCTCTCCCCACTCTCTGCTGCACCTGCATCTGTACCAGTAACTGCACCTGCCATGCTGGCTTTGTCCTCTTTGTCCCCTCTAGCCCCCCTTTTCACAGCAGCAGCAATGGCGGAGGCAGCAGCAGCAGCAGAGGAGCCGGCACGGGGCGTCTTGCACTTGGCCCTGGGAGTGGTGGCGACCAGCACGGGGCGCTCCTGCAGGCGCTGCAGGTCGACGAAGTTGCAGCGGCGGATGGCGAAGGGCGGGATGCCGAAGTCAATGGCGCCTGGCGTCAGCCGCACTGCTGCGGCTACCTGCGCGGGCGTTGGGGGGAAGCGGGGAGGGGAGCAAGGGAGAGGGGCAGGTTGGCACGGAGAAAGGGGGGGGAGGGTTTGGAGGAAGTCGCTGCAGGTCGACAAAGTTGCAGCGGCGGATGGCGAAGGGCGGGATGCCGAAATCAATGGCGCCTGGCGTCAGCCGCACTGCTACCGCCACCTGCATGGGCGTTGTGGGAAAGCAAGGAGGACGGGAGCGAGCGGGCAGGGAGGAAGGGAGAAGGGGCAGTGTGGGAGGCAGGCTGGGAGCGGTTGTGCACTCAGCAGCACTCTGTCAGGCGCACTGCTGCTGCCACCTGCGGGGGCGTTGGGCGTTGGGCGTTGGGCGTTGGGCGTTGGGCATTGGGCGTTGAGGGGAAGCGGGGAGTAAGGGAGAGGGGCAGGTTGGCAGAGATAAGGGAGGAAAGACGGACGATGCAGGCGCTACAGGTCCAGGAAGTTGCAGTGGCGGATGGCGCCTGCAGGAAACCAATGGCGCCTGGCGGATGGCGCCTACAGGAAGTTGCAGTGGCGGATGGCGAAGGGCGCTATGCGGAAACCAATGGCGCCTGGCGTCAGGCGCACTGCTGCGGCCACCTGCACGGGTGTGCGGGGGAAGAGAGCACGGGAGGGGGGGGATGAGGGAGGAAGGAAGGGAGGGAGGGAGGGAGGGAGGGAGGGAGGGAGGGAGGGAGGGAGGAGAGGCGACAGGCATCAGAGAGATGGAGACCTTTCCCTCGGGTACTTCAGTTTTGGTTCTTTCCGAGCCTCATTACTACTCATTTGGTTTCGCCATTGCTCATGAGAGGCAAGTTCCTTCAGAGTGGGACGTTGAGAGGCGGGCATTCACTGGAGACTGAGGCTCTTAGCGCAACTCGCTGTGAAAAAAAAAAAAAAGGAAAAAAAGGAAAAAAGAAGAAGAAGAAAAAAGAGGACGCCGAGAGGGCACTCACTCGGTGGCTGGCGAAGTGCACATAGCACGGCACGTCTCTCAGCAGCGACCCCTCCGAGTCCTCACCCGCAGCAGCGCCAGCGGCACCAGCAGCAGCATTAGCAGTGCTAGCGTGAAGCACGGTGGCTGCAGTGGCAGCAGCAGTATCCTGTGGCGGCGGCGGCACGGAAATCTGCAGCCCCTGCAGTCCCTTGCGCTGCCGAAGCAATGGCCACTCGTCCTCCTTTACCTTCTCCTTCTCCGTCTCCTCCTCCTCCTTCCCTCCCTCAAAGGAACTCGCCGCCACGCCAACGACCCCACCCTCCTTCGCCGCACCGCTCTCGTTGGCGGCGGCGGATTTGGCGGCGGCTTTGGCGGCAGCGCGTTGTGACAGTAGATTGGCGGCTTCGACCGCGCTGCGGTGGACGAACGACTCCAGAGCCTTGTCCACGTCAGCTTCCCGCGTGAGCTCGATTATCGCGTCGCGATGGTCGATTTGCAGCAGCGCCTCCTCCTCCGCCGTCATTCCCTCCGCCAAATCCGGCGGCAAGTCAGGCGAGAGGAGCCCTGGTGCTGACGAGGGGAGAGGAATACAAGGAGGCAGTGGCGCGGTCGCCATATCGTCTTGCTGCTGCTTCTGCTTCTGCTGCTGCTGCTGCTGCTGCTTCTGCTTCTGCTGCTTCTGCTTCTGCTGCTGCTTCTGCTGCTGCTGCTGCTACTGCTGCTGCTGCTGCTGCTGCTACTGCTGCTGCTGCTGCTACTGCTGCTGCTGCTGCTGCTGCTGCTGCTGGGTACAGAGCGGCAGGGGAGGGGAGAGCGGAGAGGTAGGTGGAGCTTCTACCGTTAGCGGAATATCTGTTCAGCTGGTAGCAGGATTCTACCGTCTGTTGCCGCGAGAAGGACGTCCTTGCGCTCTAGGTCGAGTCTATTCAGTTGCCGTTCCTAAAACGAGCATAGTTACGTAGAGCATGAGCTGTGTGGTGTCACGGAAAAGCAGCATTTGGTGTGTTGTTCTTGTAGGGGGGCTGCATTTTCTTTCTCTCTCCAATGCGTCATTGCCTTGCTGTCGTGCGCAAAAAAACATTCCTCCAAACAAATGTGCACTCGAGAGACTCGAGCGGAGGAATCTCCTTGCCTCGTTACTCTTCCCCCCCACCCCACCCCAACCCCCCACCCCACCCCACCCCATCCCCCCACATGCTCCCTGCACGGGCAGGAAGTTGAGGAGGAATCTTCGTGTGGATTCCCGCGTCGCTCGGAACACTGTAGCCAGCACAGTAAGCTGGGACTGCAGTTTTGGAATGAGGAAACGAGGGTAACACAGCGCACAGTACAGTTTCAGGGCCTGTCTTGCCACATCGGCATCATAGCCGTATGACGTGTCGAAATGTGCCACGGATGCGCCGCATTGCCTGAGCCTCTCCCGAGTTGGTCCAGTTCGTCGGTTTCCAACGCTGAAGCTGACACGAGACCTTGTGTGACTGAGCTGGAAGGGAGGAGGGAGACTCGCGGTTCCATGAAGAAGCAATCACTGTTCAAGTATTGTATTGTGTATTTAATTGAGGAGGCTATTGTCCTCTTCATGAAAGCTAAGAGCATTTATAACGTCTAAGAGGGTTGGGAGGGCATCTGCAACACTGATGTGCGGCAAATCATGGAATACAGGGGAATTGTAATCAATGGATGGTAGCATCCATTCGGACAAGGATGCGAAAAACTCTTCAAAACGAGGGGTTAGAATCCCCTCCCAGTCAACCTAGGTGATGGAGGGAAGGGATGAGACGTGAGGGGGAGGGGAGGGGAGGGAAGGCGTGGATAGCAGTAGTGGGAGCCATGCACATGCACGATAAACACAACGCAGGGAAGAAATTAAAAAAGCAACAGCCGGAACGACAGGTTGGAGGCCTTACCTGAACTCCTTTGGGGATGTCTGCAGTGACATGCATGTCCGCCGCGGCAAAGAGGCCCAGCATCGACACATAGCCCACCATGGCCGTTCCACGAGCCATGGGCATGAAATTATACCTGGAAGACAGCATGCAGCAAGATGCCACTCAGCGAGGGGGGAGATCGATGAACGCCCGCCAGGGAGATGAGGACGAGGAGGAGAGAGAGAGAGAGGATGAAAGCGGGGCACCCTGTGAATCAAGCAGACACTGGAAATATTGCTGTGGCTTCACCACACCTGGGCAATAAATCTACCAGTAAAACTATCCCTTGGACTGACCAGTAAAATCCGAGACGAAGAATGGCATTGTGGATGCGTCTTCTATAGGCATGGAGGTCCGATGCCTTCATGGAGACGTCCAGATAAGCTTCGCATAGCTCCTGCACACATGCCAGAGATGTCGCATATGCACGCATGCACACACGCACGCATGCACACACGAACGGTGCGAGAGACGGATAGGCTTGGGGTTTAGATGGAGAAATTGGAAGAGCAGGCCGTTGGGACGCCGACGCCTCAACGGTGGTAGGTTGTGGTAGGTTGTGATTCTTGCTGCAGTTTGGGCAGAATTTGGCAAGGCTGGCAGTGGAAGAGTTTGAAAGCTGGAAAAAAAGGCATCGAAACGGAATGAAAGGGAGCAACTGTGGGAGACGACCATTGGCCGGCCGGAGGGAGATGACCGCAAGGGGGACTGCTACGAAATGAGTAGGCTTTAGAGTGAGTGGAAGAGAGCACCTTCCAAGCAGTTTCCATCTCGAAATCGTACTCGTCCCAGCGCGTGGGAATAACAGGGGTCTTGATGGAAAACTCGTAGTAGGTGGGGCTGGGGTGGGGGGAGGAGAGGGGGATGGGTGGGAGAGAGGGGCGGGATGGGTGGGAGAGGGGGGTGGGATGGGATGGGATGGGTGAGAGAGGGGGCGGGGGGTGGGTGGGAGAGAGAGGGGGATGGGGGATTCCATGGAGAGTGATTACGAATGGGTTGGCTGAGATAACACAGGTGGATGGAAGAAGGTGTAACTAATAGAAGAGTGCTCATGCATGAGCACATGCACGGACATGTCCATGCACGCACTTACGTTGCTTGCATGTGGGCACACAGTGAAAGTGGGCCGACAGAAAACCAGAGGCAGGAAAGGCAGCTTTGGGATGGATGGTGGGGGTGGGGGGGATGGTGCATATGTTAGGTGTGGTGGGTATGGTGCATATGTTATGTTGGGTATGGTGGGTATGGTGGGTATGCTGGTGGTGGGTATGTTGGTGGTGGGTATGGTGGGTATGGTGGGTATGGTGGGTATAGTGGGTATGGTGGGTATGGTGGGTATGGTGGGTATGGTAGGTATGCTGCTGGTGGGTATGTTGGTGGTGGGTATGGTGGGTATGGTGGGTATGGTGGGTATGGTGGGTATGGTGCATATGTTATGTTGGGTATGGTGGGTATGGTGGGTATGCTGGTGGTGGGTATGTTGGTGGTGGGTATGGTGGGTATGGTGGGTATGCTGGTGGTGGGTATGTTGGTGGTGGGTATGGTGGGTATGGTGGGTATGGTGGGTATGGTTGGGATTGGTGGCATACGTCTTGACCATGGTGAGTCGAGTGCCATTCATCACCACCCTGCAAACAAGCAAGCAAGGCAATGAGGATTGGGAGCAACATGGGGATTGGGAGCAACATGGGGATTGGGAGCAACATGGGGACTGGGAGCAACATGGGGATTGGGAGCAACATGGTGATTGGGAGCAACATGGGGATTGGGAGCAACATGGGGACTGGGAGCAAGGCCATGAAGATTGGGGCCAATGCCACGCAAATTAGGGGCAAGTGCAGAATCAGGACCAGGAGGAGCAGGGGCTATTTTTGAGGCGCCTCAAAAATAGACTCCTCAAGTGCAGAATCAGGACCAGGAGGAGCAGGGGTTAGGAGCATTGGGAGGTGTTAGAAGGGAAGAGAGGGATGAAAAGGTGCGGTGTGAGGTGACAGCCGAGGGAGAGGGACAGAGCACAGTGGACAGGACATGGCTGGGCAATTGACTTTGCGCAAGCCATTCTGCAAGTAAACGCAAACACCCTTCAGCCTCATTCACTTCACCCTGCCCTTGCCTCTCTCCCTGCCCACGCCTCTCACGCACCCTGGGCGTGCAGTGCTGTGGCAGGGCGTCACCACCCAGTAGTCCTGCCCTATTGCCTTCCATGCGTCCTCTGCTGTTTCTGCTTGCACTACCTGCCACGAGAGTGGGGGCGGGAGCAACAGGAGCAGCTTGCAGCTTCAAGGGCTGGCCGCCCTATAGAAGCAAAGCTGTCTAGAAAGAGAGAGAGAGAGAGAAGAGGGGGAGGAAAAGGGGGTCGGGTGGGGGGGGTGGGAAACAGAGAAGCAGTGTACAATCCTCTCCCCCCACTCCCCTCCCTCCCCGCCCCCTCCCCCCCACCTGTAGCAAGGTGGACGGACGGACCTGGTGGACGGCGGTGTGGGAGAGAGGCACAGGCTGCTCGTAGCCGTTCCACACCATGTGCCTGTGCCGCACCTGCTGCTTCATTATCGCAAACGCCCTGCGTGCAGAGCGGACGTGGTGAGATCAAGTCAAGGGCATCGTGCGTGAGAGGGTGGCAGAGAAGGCAAGCAGGAGGAGAGGAGAGAACACGGAGCTGGGTGGAGCTGTTGTGAATAGAATCGCCACCCTCCGAGGACACAGTCTTGCGCACGCCTGACCGACAGCACAATCCTCCGAGCAAGAGGAGCAAGAGGAGCAAGAGGAGTACGAGCAAGAGGAGCAAGAGGAGCAAGAAGAGCAAGAGGAGCAAGAGGAGTACGAGCAAGAGGAGCAAGAGGAGTACGAGCAAGAGGAGCAAGAGGAGTACGAGCAAGAGGAGTACGCGCAAGAGGAGCAAGAGGAGTACGAGCAAGAGGAGCAAGAGGAGCAAGAGGAGCAAGAGGAGTACGAGCAAGAGGAGCAAGAGGAGCAAGAGGAGCAAGAGGAGTACGAGCAAGAGGAAGCGTTCGGGAAAAAGGGGGAGAGCGAACTTGGCGGTGGTTTTGATTGACGTGGGGGTTCAGGGAAGAAACGGAGTGGGTAGTATAAAATATAAACATATTTATACACACATAAGTATATACATATGAAAGCAGCTGAAGAGAAAAACGAGGGATGGGGTGGGGGGGGGGAGGGGAGGGAGGGGGTACCACCTGTCAAAGGCAAAGTAGTATTTGTTGCTCTTGAGCTGGCTGACCAGCATGGCAGTGACAGAGCCAAAGCCATCCTCAAACTCCTTGCGCCTGGTGTGTGAGGGTTGTGGTTAATGCCGCGAAGGCCAACAATACAAAAGCACACACATTAGTAGGAGGAAAAGGTTAGGAGAAACGGGAAGAGAGAGAGGGAGTAGGGGAGGGAGAGGAAGAGGTCGAGGGAGGGTAAATGTTCAAGTTGAACATTTACCCTCCAATCACAACGTTGCTCATGTTCACATGCCCTAAGTTCGTGCAATTGTGTGTGTGTGTGTCAGCATGTTCAGATGTACATGTGCACACATGGATGGCTGCATGTTCATTCGTTCGTACGTGAGCTTGTCAATCCACACTGCTGGCTCAATGGGTTCCCCCAGCTGCCTCCACCGCACCACTAGGTCGTAGATGTCCCGCCACCGCCGCACATATGATGCTCCACTCTTCCTCCTCCAACCTTTGCCCTGCTCCTGCTCCTGCTGCTCCTGCTGCTTCTGCTGCTGTCGTTGCTGCCGCCTCTTCCCCCTCTGTCTTCCCCTTGCACTTTCCCCCTCCTCACTACCCCCTCCACTCTCCACCTCTCCCATCCTCACCGCCCTTCCCTTCCCTCCCTCCCCTCCCTCCCCAACCCCCTCTCCCTCCCTCTCTCTCCTCATCCTCTTCCATGTCTCCTGCACCATATCCCTCACATCCAGAATCGCCAGCCCCGCCATCCTATGCTGCCGCCTGTTCCGCAAAAACCCATTGCACCAATACTGCGTCCTCTTCCCCAGCTCATCCGCAGCCGCCAGCATGCGCCGAACTTGCGCAGAGAACGTAACGTTGTAACCGCCGGACTCCGCGGGTGTGAGCTTAAGCGCGGGGCGCAGCGGCTGCAGGTGGTAGCCAGGGAAGAGCGGCGTGTACGCGATGCGCTTGGCCCAGAGTTCTTTAAATGTGGGGTGCATGTCATCGTCCACGCTGTACGCTGTCATGGGCTTGGCCCGCCTATGTGCCAGGTACGCTGTCAGCTCGCGCTGGAGAGGGAAAATACAGAGGGAAAAAGGTGCGGTGCAGGTGACACAGATGCATAGTTAGATGAATCAGCAATGCTGTATGTTGTCATGGGGTTGGTTCGGGGCTGTGCCAGTTATGCTGTCAGAGGACCGGGTGGAGGTTGGGTGTGGTGTGTGCAATGGACATTTGGGTTTTGACTTGGCTTGGGGAAAAGAGAGAAGGGCCCACCAAACCTGGTTGGGGGAAGGGCTGTGAAACCAGAAAGTCAACTGACCGCACACGCAACAGTCCCACTGGGTAGAAGGCCATTTTTTAGGCGCCTCAGAAATAGAACCTCAAAAAACAACTGATCTCATGCGCAACAGCTGCACCTGGCAGAAGGCCTGGACCTCTCCTTGGTTGGTTTTGAGTCAACTCAAACGCCCGGCAAAACAGTTAGTCATAACCGCACAACCCCCACCTGGTAGAAAGCCTGCAACTGTTTAGTCTGATCCACGCCAGGCGGTTTCGGAAAATACTAGGGTAGGGATCCAACTGATCGCACGTGCAGCAGGCGCACCTGATAAGAGGATCACACACGCAACAACCCGCACCTGGTAGAAGGCCTGGAACTGCTTGGTCTTTTGAGGCGCCTCAAAAGTCGGCTTTTTGAGTCGACTCAAAAATCACATGGTAGAAGGCCTGGAACTGCTTGGTCTTTTGAGGCGCCTCAAAAGTCGGCTTTTTGAGTCGACTCAAAAATCACCTGGTAGAAGGCCTGGAACTAGGGATGGGCAGGGGGCGAGTCGAGTAAAACTTGCCTCGAGTAATTATGACTCGCCTCCCTTAATTGGCGAGTCGAGCAATACTTGAGTCGAGCTTTTTTCTCAAGGGCCCGACTCGTTTACTCGTTTTTTAGACGAGTAAAATTTTTACTCGGGGCGAGTAGTTTTTACTCGCCCTGAGGCAAGCATTACTCGACTCGGGCCATTGTTCCCCACTTCCCTTTCTCTCACATTCTGGGAGGGGTGCTTTTAGGGGGCCAGAGTTGTAAGTCCAGCTGTGCATTGCCATGCAATGCACGTTTTGAGTGTGAACAAGGGCAATGAGGTTGTGACAGGTGCCTATAACCTTTTTTGCAAAGGTCTGCCCTTGAGGTTGGTGTCCAATCACCACGTCCCGTGACCACCACGTGCTGGCAGGTTGGGTCAGGTGCTGCAGAAGGGAAGAGCCTTCTCCGTTCCATGTGTGCACTAGATCAATAATTGCAGCAACCAACAAAGACAGTTGCACATTTGTTATGATAAGTTGACGCTGTCACGGGGGTATAAATAACCAACAAAGACAGTCACTGATCAAGTCAGGGAGAGAGATGACATCGAGGGCAAGCAAGGGCTTGTCAAGTGTCGGGGCAAGGGCAAGGCAAGGGCAGCCAGCCAGCCAGGCAAGCAAGTCCCCGACGTCGCCTCTATCACATCCCCTCCTCCACCTCCACCCCCAAGTCCTCCACCTCCTCATCCCCAGTGACCGGCGCGTCGGCGAGCCGCTCGCCGGGGTGCGACGCAATCCATGACTTCAAAGTCATGCAGGCGCGCACACGCTCGGCCCCAAGCCGATGCCGCTTCCATGTGATAAGGTTGCGGCTCTGAGAGAAGACTCTCTCGCTTGCCGCCGACGTAGCGGGGATGGCAAGGTAATCCCTGGCCATCGCCTGCAGTCCGGGAAGGTCCGACCTGCGGCGCCAGTAGGCAAGCGGCGATGCCCAGATCGGCTCCAGCGGCTCATCCACATACAGCTGTATCTCGTCCTTGACCTGGGAGGATTGCTGGCTGCGGAGCTGTGTGAGCTGGGCAACCAAACTGTCACCGTCGTCATCATCTCCCCCGAACGCTGAGCCGAAACGGCCGGGGACATCGTCACTTCCATCCCCTCCCATCCTCCCCATCCCACCACCCCTCACGACCTCAGCGTTCCCCGCTGCCTCACGGACCTTGATCATGTAGGGCAGCCACTTACCGCGCACCAGATCTAGCACATCAGCCTCCTGCACCTGGTCAACAACAGAGGTGACGAGGGAGCCACGCGGGAGGCTGAAGTAGCCCAGCTTCATGGACGGGTCCAGAAACGTCGCGATGCAGAGCTCATCGCTACTGCTGCAGTAGTACTCCTGCAGTTTGGGCAGAGCCGCACCGATGCACGCAGTGATGAGGGGGGGGGGGGGTTCGCGGGGTCCTGCTGCAGCTTGTCCAACCTGCCCATGAGTTCGTTGAACTGCGGCACCACCCGGCTGACGGTAGGATACTGGGACCCTTCGGCGGCCAGAGTGACGGCGTTGAATGGCTTGAGGAAAGCAGCGAGTACCTCAAGCGTCCGCCACTGCTCAGGGCTGAGGCGTAGTTCCGCAAGGCGCCTCGTCTCGCGGGTAGTGGACTGCGGGGCGGGGTGTGTCATGCAATTGGCGGGGGCGGGGTGGGCGCCAATGTGGCGATCCAATGGAGTGTGTCACACTTGTGGGGTTGCGCGTATGGCTGCATGTATGGCGGCATGTATGGGTGCATGTATGGCTGCGTGTACAGCTGCGTGTACGGCTTCATACGGCTACATGTATGGCATCTGAAAAGGCCGGCGGGGGCCAGCGTCACACTTGCTTAAGAACAGCAAATGCACCGCGAAGGAAGGCTAGTTAACTTGCCCAATGGGGAGGAGGCTCACCCCAACGGCGCGGCGGAAGAAGGCATCCAGTGCCTCTCGGAGACGAAGGCCACGTGTGATCATGTTGAAGGTCGACCCCCAACGCACATCCATGTCCTGTCGTAGCTTAAGGACCGGCTGTGTAGGATATTGTCGGCGCTGCTCCTCCTCGAACTGCAGCACCTTCTGGGGCCTGAACCCGATGAAGGTCGCGCATTCGCGCAGAATGCCTAGCGGTTCCTTCACCTCCTCAACCCCCCGCAATACCTGCTGCACTGCAAGATTGCAGATGTGCGCGAGGCAACTGGGGAGGGAGTGGAGGAAGAGAGGGGGAATGGAATCTGGCCGGCTAAGGGCCGGGACCATGTGCTTATTGGTACCCGAGCACGTGGCAGCAGATGGGATTATGTAGGGCAGCATGGCTTAAAACCTTACCGGATGTGCAGGCCAGTGCTGAATAGGCGAGGAAACCTGTCGCCAGGGCCCTGCCTCGACAACCACTGCATTGCAGCAATGTTCGTGGAGGCGTTGTCCGTTGTGACCGCCATGCAACGGCCCACCAGCCCCCAATCCAGAACCACTTCCTCCAGCACCGCCGCCACGACGGCGGCAGTATGCCTGGCTGGAAGCGCAGCGAACTCAAGCGTAGCCTGCCTGAGTTCGAACGCGGTGGTCAGCCAGTGGCCGGTGACCGCCATGTACCCGCGATGGTTCTCGCCCGACCAGATGTCGGTGGTGAAGGACATCGCCCCCCCACCTGCGGCAACTGCCACCTCCAGCTTACTCATGGCGCGGGCTGCACGGGACATGCGGACAAGGCCCCGTGTCATGGCACCGCGCGATGGGATCACACCAGGTGCCCCACACTGGACGTTGGAGGCAGTCATCATGCGGCGGTACTGGTTTGGCGGGGGCAAGGCAGCAAGGGGTCGCGGGTGATGGACGTATTGCTATACGGGGTTTAGCATGTGCTCTGCAGCGTGACGAGGTGGGCGCACACAAGAGGCATGCAACAAGGGCAGAGTGGTGGGGTTGGGTGGTGGGCTTACGGTCGGCCGGTCGACTATGCTGAAAGCCAGATCTGCGTCGACGATGAACTCAATTATCGTCTGCCGCAAGTAGCTCTGGTCAAGGCGAGCCTGCATGTAGCGTGTCATGCTCTGCTGACCTCCCTGCCCCGACTCAGAAGGAGGGAGCAGTGGCCACCAGCCATGGCCATCCCATGCTAGCTTTCCGTCAGGGACCTCCCCAGCATCCCCGTACCCGCCCTCGGGGAATAGTTCGTCGGGCCCCACCTCCCCTCCCTTCCACCTGCGCCCCCATATCTCCCAGTGGTGCAAGTGTTTGCGCTGCATGTGCGAACGGCCGGTCGATGTGTTGCTGCCAGCAAAGGAGAGGGCTTTCCCGCACTTCCGACAGCGCCTCTTATTCCCCCACTCGGTCACCACGTCGAAGCACTTGGCGACCGGGATGTCATCATCATCGGCCGTCTTCGCTCCTTTCGTGGTTCCAGCTGCTGCCTTGCCTGTGGTATTCGGGGGGGTGGGCTTCCCACTCCTCCCCCCCCCAAAACCCGCCTCTCCTCTACCACCAGGAGCTGCCAAGCCACCACCACCAGCCGCACCTCCCTGCTTTCCACGCTTCTCCTTCGCCCTCCCCGTCTCCTTCTCTTTCCCCACCCCCGTATCCTTCTCCGTCACCTTCTCCTTGGCCGTCCCTGTCCCGGATCCCCTTCCACCACCCTTAGAGCCCATGGTTGAAGGTCGGAGGTTGCCATCATCCGCCTCAACCTCCAACCCATCCAAGGCATCCTCATGCTCTTCTTCTTCATCGCCGGGGTGGAAACCCTTCTCCGAATCGTCACCCGACTCGGACGAGCTCTCCTCACTCTCCTCACCCCCCCCCTGCTCCCCGTCCGCCCCCTCCTCGGCAACAAGCACCATCGCAAGTGCACCAGCGTCCCCCCCCCCCTTGCCACTCCCAGCCCCATCGGAAACCCCTGGCCTCGAGGGGCCAGCGTTGCCAACACCTGACCCACGGCCGCCTCCCCCCCCCCTCACACCGGCGTGCGCCGCCTTCAACTTTCTGGCAGCCTCAAGCTCTGCCTCGAGTACAGCCTGCTTCAGCCGCCGCTGCTCGACGCTGGTAGGCACACCAACGTCCTCCCCTGCCTCATCTTCGCCACCCCCACGGTGGCGCTTAGAGCCTCCAGCACGCCCCTTAGGAGGCATTCCGGTCAGTTAGAGGAGAGCGTTGAACAGTGCAATGCCCGCTGGTCTCTTGCGTTTTCCTTTAGGACTCAGATCTAGGATTGTTGCAGGCCAAAACTGAAAAGGATCAACAATCCTTGCCACAGCTCTAAGTCGAGGCTAGGTGTAGTTAGACTAACGGATCTAGTTAATGAAGAAAGCACCCATGGCGTTAAATAAACGGATCTGCATTAGGAGACAGATCTAGGATTGTTGCTGGCCAGATCTGTAAAGGACCAACAACCCTTGCGACAACTCTACGTCTCCTAGATCCTAACGGATCTGGTTTAAGAAGAAAGCACCCAAAGCGCTTTGGAAACGGAGCTGCAGTAAAGTAGTGTGTGTCCTAAAACGAAACGCCAGAGCTTGGCCGACTCTGAAATAATGAACTGGCCAAGTCAAAATTCTGAGTTTTGTGCCAGCGCACCCGAGTTGCGATGGCACAAAATTGACGCGAGCCCAATTTTTGCTCGCGAGCAATTTCTGCTCGCGAGCAAAAACAGTGCAGGCGAGTAATTGTTACTCGCGAGTAAAAATTACTCGCCTGGACCAGGCGAGTAACATTCGAGTACTCGAATGCTCGACGAGTAAACTCGACTCGACTCGGGGCGAGCAATTTCCAGAGGAGGTTGACTCGTTACTCGGGAAAAACGAGTCGAGCAAACGAGTCGAGTTTTTACTCGCCTCGATTGCCCATGCTTACCTGGAACTGCTTGGTCTTTTGAGGCGCCTCAAAAGTCGGCTTTTTGAGTCGACTCAAAAATCACCTGGTAGAAGGCCTGGAACTGCTTGGTCTGGTCGACGCCAGGGGGCAGGTGCATGGTGAGGATGGCGGAGTATGCTTGGATGGCCTGCGGGAAGTGCCCCAGGGCGTGCAGGCACGACGCCTCCATGTACCGCAGGTCCAGGTCGTTGGCGTTGGCTGATTTTAGTCCCTGCCGTGCGATCTCCATTGCCTCCCTGGTGTGTGGTGTGTGGGGTGTGGGGTGGTATACGTGGTGCAAGGTGCTTGTTATGATGTGAGCCGCTGGAGGAAAGTGCCCCAGGGCGTGTAGGCTCGGCACCTCAATGCAAGGTGCTTGTTATGATGTGATGTGAGCCGCCTAGCGAGTACCGCAGGGGCCACGGCGTGGCGTGCATACGTGCATATGTGCATTGCGCCATCATGAATGTATGCACACACACCAGTAACGAGCTGAAGAAGAAAACGCAACTGAACCTGTGGTACCCCATGCCGTGCTTCAGAGCCGAAGCTTACACACACACACACACACACACACACTACTCACCTGTGGTACCCCATGCCGTGCTTCAGAGCCGAAGCTTACACACACACACACACACACACACACACACACACACACACACACACACACACACACACACACTACTCACCTGTGGTACCCCATGCCGTGCTTGAGAGTCGAGTACAGGTGGTAGCCCAGAAGATTGCTGCCAACAGGCCGTCAAGGGGGAAGAGGCACGATAACAGGAGGGAGGGGGCAAGGTAAGGGCAAAAAGTCGAAGGGCCGAGCAGGAGGAAAGGGGGAATCAATATACAGCCATTCCCGCACTCGTGTCAGAACCTTGCACGCTTGGCTCGGCTCAGAGTAACCCAAGGGCATGCTGACCAGGAAGCCAGCTCAGTTCAATTCAGCTGGTCAGTTCTCCAAGCCACAACGAGGGGGCTGCTGTGCCATGGGTCTCCACACAGCAGTTGAGTTGAGTCGACCGATGAGCCCCTAGACTCTGCGGTCGGGTTTAGGGATTAGCTTCGGCCTGCAGTAACCTGGACAGCATGAGGAGTCTGTTTTTGAGGTGCCTAAAAATAGACCTCTCAACGAGGGATCTGCTGTGCCATGGTTCTCCACACAGCGGTTGAGTCGACCGATGAGCCCCTAGACTTTGCAGTCGGGTCCAGGGATTAGCTTCGGTCTGCTGTATCCTGGACAGCGCTTTGAGGGACTTAGGCGGCAGCAGATGCAAGGCACAATCCCACCTTGGCTCCTTCTTCAGCACCTGGCGTGTGGTCCACCTCCTCGCGCGTCATGTTTTATGTTCTTTAGAATTCTAAAGAACTCAGCACCTGTGGTCCACCTCCTCGCGCGTCTCCTCTTTCTGCTGTACCCTTGACATCAATGGAGGAGCATCAGCGATTCTCTAAAGCAGAAAACGGGCACAAAATTCGCTCACACAGCCCGCCCACAAAGCCCGCCCACACAGCCCACCGTGGCTCCTTCTCCTTCACCTGGGCTGATCTCCTTCTCCTTCAGCTGGGGCAGGCGCTCAAGTACCCTTCCTCTCCTCGGCCTCCTCTATGTGCGACCCCTCCATTTAGGTGCATCAACAACGCGCAAGGCAGAACAAAAAACAGAGCCCACCCACTCACCCGTACAGCTCACCTTGGTTCGTGCGCCAGCGCTTGGCGGTACACCTCCTTGGCCTCAGCTATGCATGACTCCTCCTTGAGCGCCTGCCCCAGCTGCGAAGATCAGAGCCAGACTCAGAGCCCAACCCACCCGCCCAGCTCACCTTGGCTCCTTCGCCAGTGCCTGGCGGTACATCTCCTCGGCCTCCTCTATGCGCGACTCCTCCTTGAGAGCCTGCCCCAGCTGCACGAGCAGCCCCTTGAAGTGCGGATCCCGCTGCTGCACGGTAAGGAGAAGGGGTATGGCCGCTGCACAGTCGCCCCCATGCATGAGAGCCTGGGCCTGGGGAAGGGCGAGGGGGGCAGAGGGAGAAGGGAAGTAGGGAGGTGGGGAGGGTAGGGGGGAAGGGGGAGGGGAGGAGAGATAAAACGGAGATATGAGAGCAGGTGGCCAGTCAACAGGAGCGCCTTCCCCCGCTGCACGAGCAGCCCCTTGAAGTGCGGATCCCGCTGCTGCACGTTGAGGAGGAGGGGTATAGCTGCTGCACAGTCGCCCCCATGCTTGTGCGTTGCGAAGGAGTTCGAAGATCCAGGGAGGTGGGTGGGGAATGAGGGGGGGGGGGTGAGGGTTGGGTACAGGCGCAGAGGTGCCATTGATTACTCCAGGTCAGGGGCACATGAAAACCCCGCGATTCTACTCCCAAGAGCCCAGCCCCACCCTTACGCCCCAAATCCAAGAGCCCAGGCCAGCCCAGGCCAGTCCAGGCCAGACCAGGCCAGACCAGGCCAGACCAAGCCAGCCCAGGCGAGGCGAGGCGAGGTGGCATGGAGAGTGATACCAGGAAGAAGAGTGCGTGCGTGTTGTTCGGCTCGTTCGTGGTGACGGTCCGCAGGTCGCTGAGCGCCTGGAAGATGAACCGCGCGTTGAAGTACGCTATGCCTGGTGGGGGGGTGTGGGGGGAAGGGGGAGACGAAGGGGGTTGGTTTGGAGGAGAAGGGAAGGGAGATCTGGATCGTTCTGTCAAGCGCTGAGCTGATCGTTTGCAGACATTTGAATGCTGCTGACCGCCTGGAAGATGAACCGCGCGTTGAAGTACGCTATGCCTGGTGGGGGAGTGGAGGCAGATGTGACGGGGGGGGTGGAGGAGAAGGGAGCCCTGAATTATTATACCAGGCTACAGCTAAATGCGGCTGAGAGCGTGGAAGTTAAAGCGCCGTTGAAGTACGCTATGCCTGGTGGGTTGGGGCCGGGATGAGGAAGAGGGTGGGAGATGGGAGAGGAGGGGGGGAGGTTGTGGAGGGACAGAGAAGGGAAGAAGGGTGGGAAACGAGTTGAATACGCAATGTCTGGTGGGGGGGATGCGGAGGGGAGGAGGACACGGAGGAGGGAAGGAGAGGAAGGAGAGGAAGGGGAGGAAGGGGAGGAAGGGGAGGGAGGGGAGGAAGGGACTGAAATGAAGTGCGAGCAGTGGGAAAAGGCAGGGGATGCAAGGAGGCGGCGATGAGATGGGAAACGGAAAAAAGCAGGGGAGACACAGAGGCTGCTCCATGCTAAAAATAGCCCTCAAGGGGTTTTGGTACAGTCTGCGACAGGGTCGTCGTACTTGTTCCGTGATTCATGGAGTGACATGACTGACAGCCATACCATACCTCACTCGCTCCTTGAGTCCAGGCGTCTCTTACACTTACTCTTACCTTGCTAGCTCCGTGCGTGCAAGCGCCTTTACCTCGCTCCGTGTGTGCAGCCCAGTCTGTTGGGCGAGCTTCGATCACGGCTGTAAGATCCTTAATCGCCTGATGCATGCACGCACACACGGGCGGACCGGACATGCACGAGTCAATGGACGCAAGCAGAACAGAGATTTGGGGGGGGCGGTAAGGGTAAGGAAAGGGGTTGGGGAGAGGGGGGAAGGGGGAGCGGGGGAGGGGGAGAAGAAAGAAGGGGAGGTGGCAAGGGTATAAGGATATAAGCATTGACAGTCTGGGTTGCAATGGGGAAGCAGCAGTGGCAGTAAGCAAGAGAGCAGGGTGGTGAGGCCTGTCTGTCTCTACTTTAAGGTGCCTCATTAACTGACAGTCTGGGGCCGAAACCGGGACGCAGCAGCAGCAGCGGGCGTAAGCAAGAGAGCAGGGTGGTGTGGTGGCGCTTGCCTCGTCATTCTTGCCCATGGCCGTGTACGTCTGCCCTCGCCTCCTCAGAGCCTCATGAAATGACGGATTGATCTCCAATGCCTGCAGGCGAGGGTAGATGTAGGACATTGGGAGAAAGAAAAGAGAAGGGAAGGGAGAGGGTGGACAGGGGGAGCGTTGGAGAGAGGAGAGAAAGAGGCCAATCGTCCAGGCAAGAGACACTGCCGGATAGTCTGCCTAAGGTACAACATCAATATCACGAACATCACCGGTTTTCCGTTATGAAAGAGGTTCAGAATAGTGCATAATCTAAAGAGTCAGGCACCATCTATACAGTCATGATGGCACGGCTGGCAGCACTTACCTTGGTGAAGTCGCCCACAGCGTCCTGGTACCGGTTCATGAGGGCATAGATTGTTCCGCGGTACATCAGCGCATGGTCCGGAAATAGCTGCTGCTCCAACACCTGTAGGTGTGTGCATGTGTGCGTGCATGCCGTATGCGTGCGTGCGTGTGTATGTGCATACGTGCATGTGCGGGCATGTGCGTGCATGCATGTGTACGTGTGTGTGTGTGTGCAGTGCACATGGTTGATTGGGACCAAATTGGGGCGACAGACGATGAGAGGGGGACGCGAGGGAGGGGGGGAAGAGCGGTGAAGAGGAGGGAGCATCTGGGTGTTACGGTGGGGGAGGAAAAGGACGAGTGCACGACACGCAGGCATGGCATGGCATGGCATGGCTTGGCATGGCATGGCTTGGCATGACAGAGGTTGTGCAGGCATGCCATACCTGTGACGTAGTGGTGGCTGTGAGGTGAAGTGAGGTGAAGTGACAGCATGGAGCCAGTCGGTTAGTTAACTGGTTGCACAAGGGTGCGGGAGTGCATTTTGCATGCGACTAAAAAATGTTTGCACAGGAGTGCAGGCGTGCAGGGGTGCGAGGTGCAGGGGTGCAGGGGTCCAGGGGAGCAGGAGTCCAGGGGTGCAGGAGTGCAGGGGTGCGTGCAGGGGTGCAGGGACGATGAGGGAGAGCAGACTGACCTTGTTGAAGATGTCAACGGCCTTAGTGTGCTCTCCTTGCATCACCTGACACACACACACACACACACACACACACACACACGCACACACACACACACACACACACACACACACACACACATACACGCACGCACGCATACACACACACAAAGGTGCACGTATATGAGTGAACATGCAACAGCAGCAGCAGCAGCGACAAGAAAGACAACTGCAATGAGCACGATCTTTGGTGTCATGGCCTGGTATGGTAGAGAAACGCATGGTATGGTAGGCTATGCTATGCAATGGAGACGGTGCGGTCTGGCATGGTATCAAATTGCATGATTTTAGCATGATATGGCACCGCATGGAATGGAATGGAACGAACTACTTGGCATGGCGTGGGCCGCAATTGCATGGCATGGCATGAGATGCTACGGATGCATCCACACACCAGTCTGACAGCAGCAGACATGAACATGTCTAGTGTTCTCCGCACTTCACTACTGGGATCCTGCTCCTCTGACCCACCATCCCCACTGCCCCTGCTGCCCCCCCTCGCATTGTCCTTGCTGTTTCTGTGGCTGCCATCACTGTTGCTGCCGCTGCTGCTGCCGCTGCTGCTGACCCTGCTCTTGGAATGCCTTGTGTTGCTGTCGCTCCTACCCTTGGCCCTGTTGTCAGATTGGCCTTCAGACACACTGCCACTGCTGCTGCTGCTCCTGCTGCTGTAAGTGGTAGCGGTAGTGGAGGCAGAAGAGCTGCTACTGCTGTTGGTGGCTGGACTAGCCCTGGTGGGAGAGAGAGGGGAAGCAAGACGGCAGGGGGCCGGGACAGAGGGATACAGAGAGAGGGCGTCACTTCTGAGGCAGGCAGGAGCCAATGAGCCAGCCAGAATATCACTGGCACATTGCGTACACACAAGCTACCGCCTGCAGTTGCGATGCCAGCCAGCCACGTGGTCAACAGAACAGAATGGACTGCTGTGGCACCATCACACACAGATTGAATCTGGAGCCATATTTTTGGAATGAAATCTCTGAAAAGGTGACTCCAATCTGTCTATTCTGCCCCCGCCCTCCCCAGAACCCTCACCTGGGCTCTCCCTTTGACGGCAGGAGCTGCTGCGGCACCAGCACACAGAGCTGCAGCTCATGTGCCGCAACCAGGGGGGGTAGAGAGGCGCCGGAGGGGCAGGGGCACAGGGGAGCGCCTGGAAGAGACAGGGATGGGAGAGCTGGGCAGGAACCCGGCCCATCGCCTGCCTGCTCTGGCTCTTCTTCTGATGCTCCCCATTCTCCCCTCCATGCTCGCCCTCCTCCTTCTCCTCCTTTCCCTAGGTGCCGTGGCTCAGCTGCAAGGCGGTGGAGAGACGAATCTGCAGCAGAGGGTAGAGTAGGTCAAGAAGAGACATGTGATGTGACGAGGGGGTTGGGGATGGGAGGAGGGCAGCACAGCAAAGGGACAGTGCGCACACCAGCCGGTTGCCGACACCTGGGCCCTTAACCTGGGCGACCTCTACTCCATCCTCGAGGCAGAGGAGCCCCGCTGCTGTAGGAAGAGGGGGGGTGGGGGGGGGTACGGGGGTGCGCGGGGATCCTGCAGGGGCGGCATTCCTTGAGCTATGCCTTTCTTAGTCCGTGTTCGTTTGTGTTAGTGTGTGTCTTGCTGGTTCACTGTTGTGTGTTCCCTATTGGCCTTCTCAGTTGGACTCAGGTGGTGGTGGTGTTATCAATGACCTCGTCCGCTTGAGAGAGGGAGTGAGCGAGATACACAGGATAGAGAGAAGGAGAGAGATAATCTGCGAGGAGAGATGATCTGCGAGGACAGATGATCTGCGAGGACAGATGATATGCGATGGAGAGATGATCTGCAATGGAGAGATAATCTGCGATGGACGGAGAGATGATCTGCGATGGAGAGATGATCTGCGAGGAGAGGTGATCTGCGTGGGAGAGATCATCTGCGAGGGAGAGATCATCTGCGATGGAATGGGGGCACCAATGAGGTGGAGAGGAAGCGGGTAGTGCCAGGAATGCACCTGAAGTGAGCAACATACTTGGAATAAGGAATGCACGCCAGAAGGCGAATACACTAGTGATGGATGGACCCTATTGTTTTAGGCGCCTCAAAAATAGACTCCTCACGTCAGAAGGAGAATGCACCAGTGATGGATGGAGCCTATTTTTGAGGCGCCTCAAGAATAGACTCCTCACGCCAGAAGGAGAATACACTAGTGATGGATGGAGCCACCCACCTGGCGTGAGAAGGAGAATACGAGGGCAGGAGGAGGGGAGGTGGGTGGCCGACAGCGACGGGGCAACCATGCTGAGGGTGTTCTGTGATTGTCCTGTGCCATGGCTTGGCCTGAAACATGATGCTCTCCGAGGGGAGCTGATGTGACATCCCATGCCATGCCATGCCATCCCATGCCACACCATGCCATCCCATGCCATGCCATGTCAAGCCATTCGACCTCAACACACCCCATCAGAACTCATTTCTTCGCATTCGCTCTTTTCGTGACCCACATCTCATCCATATATTCAACACCATCCCATCTCATCCCATCCCATCCCATCCCATGCCAATCAATCGCATTTCAATTCAAGCCGGGTGGTGCAAATGCAACACAGAGCTGGTTAGCAGCAGCAGCAGCAGCAGCGGGTTCAACGACAGAGTAACAGCAGTAGCACCAGGAGCCACAGCAGCGACATCTATTCGACATTCGAAGGACTCCCAAGGCAACTCCAGGGTCTACTCTACTGAAACAAATAACACAAACAGCAGCGTTTTATCCACAATGCAGACAACGGCGGAGCTAAAAAATCCGACCAAAGGCGGTAGACACGAGCGGCAACGTTCCAAGGCAGAGAAGCGCCACGCCTCCTTTCGCTGAACTAACCAGAGAAGAGACCCTGGTGCAGTCTCGGCAATCCCTAGGGAAGCGCCATGCACGGCCGACACGGCCCAGTGTCGCAAGGCACGACCACAAGTGACCCTACTCTCCCCGCCTTCAGCCATCCGCCGTTGCACTGACGGCTTGCCGTCTGGCGTTTCGCCTTTCGCCGGCTGGCCGACTGGTTTTTGTCCTGCTGCGAAATTGACAGCATTCGCATGCGTCTGCCATGGTGACGGGGTCCCGAAACGGCCGTCGCTTTGCCACGTGGCGCTGAACACGTGGCACGATGATAGGTTCAACGCGAGGCACGCGAGAGTGACAGCGGCGGGAAGAGCCATGCCGTACACCGACTTAGCATAAAGACGTTCAACTAGCTGCACGCGACATGTTTACAGTGGTTATGTCAGATGTGACTCGAACGGATCGGAACAACATGACGAAAAACAGCAGGGAGTGGAGTGGAGCATTGTGGCAGGTGCAGATCACCCATGAGGGATGGTGTAAGGAAATGGTATTTCCTTATCACGTGCTTCAGTTAGTAAGGCGTGCATTGCTATAACGGGATTGCCACGTAGCTCTACCAATAAATTCAAATCTCGGTACCCAAATGTGGCCTCCTGACTAGCCGCATGCACTTTGCCCGCCTTGTTGTTACATGCCTAGATCTGGGCGCTTCACGCCAATAAACTAACCACAAGTCTTAGCTCTGCCGAGCCACGACAGTGTGCTCTAGGCTAGCTATACACGTGCTCCCTGCTGTTTTGATGTTGCCTCATTGTATTGTCTTCCTCGCTAATCAATTATTCGACACTGCAATTTATTACACCTGGCCATCAGAGCCAACGATCCTCAGCCTTGCGCTTTAGTTCCGCTGCAATACCGACACATAGGGAGGCTGACGCCCTATGCTTATTGCATATCCGTTGTCTTGGTAATATTTATCATCCGCCTGAGTTCATCCCCATTTTCCGCCCCCATACTTTTCACACCAAAGAAGGACAACGGGTACCGAATGTGCATTGAACATGGTAACTATCAAGTCACGTTACCCTATCCGTCGCGCCGACAAACTGATCGACCAACTTCGCAAAGCTCGCTTCTACTCGAAAATAGATTTACAAGGGGTTTATCACCAGATTCGTGTAGTCGCAGCCGACTGTCACAAGACCGCGTCTCGTACTAGGTACCGGAGTTTCGAGTATGTATTTATGCCCTTCGGACCGACGAACGCCCCAACGACTTTTCAGATGACCATGAACCAGATCTTCAGTTCGCTCGTAGATAAGTTTGTTATAATTTAACTAGACGAGATACTGATTTACAATGAGACTCGGGCGCAACACTTAAAGGATCTCGAAGCAGTTTTCACGCTACTGCAGGAGCATCGGCTGCTCACGAAGGGATCTAAGTGTGAGTTCTTACAAAATAGTTTAGAATTTGTAGGCCACGTCATCTCCGCTAAGGGCGTCGAAGTGGACCCCCCCTCGAGACCGTGCAAGCCCGGCTATGAACCTACAGGAGCTGCAAAGTTTTTTTGGTTTCGTACATTACTTTCGGAGATTGATCGCGAATATGGCGGGGGTAACTGTACCGTTATCCGACCTGCTGTGGAAAGGGACCGAATATAGGTGGAGGGAGGAAGAGCAAGCAGCCTTCGCCGCGCTTAGCCCCTGTCCTTCACATCATCGATCCTCACCGTCCGCTCGAAGTCATCACTGACCCCAGCAACGTCACCATTAGAGAAGTACTGTTACACGACTTCGGCAAAGGGCTGCAGCTAATCGCGTACGAGTCACGAAAGTTATACCCGCCCGAGCAAAACTATCCGATACACGACAAGGAGATGCTCGCGATTGTGTACGTCTTAAAAGTGTGGCAGTGCTATATGACAGGCACAAACGTGATAGTGCGGATAGGCCATCGCAGCCTACAGTACATCCATGCACAGCCACTGCTCAACCCATACAGATTCGGTGGTTGGATTTTATGGAATCCAATTTCCACTATACTGTCACCTAAAAGGATGGGCATCAAACATTGCAGACCCCCTTTCTCGCCCATCCACCCATCTCAACTCAATCATCCTCGCCCAAAAATCCCCGCTACTTACAGGCCCATTTACCCACGGGTACCAGATGGGCAGATTCTTTACATCGTGTGCGTACGAACAGCTCGCAACGGCTAAGGGAGTCTATAATGTAAAGACAAGGACTCACCTCATCTGGATACCAGAGTACAGTCTATTACGGCAGCCACTACAGTAGGAAGCCCACGACAGTACAGTTTCAGGGCACTTCGGGGTGGAAAAAACACGACAACAATTGACCATATATTATTTATGGTCGGACACGCATGGGGGACGTGCAGCGGCATGTGGTTTCGTGCAGGACCCACCAAACCATGAATTCATCGAAGTAGAAGCCAACTAGACAGTTGCAGCCGATCCCGCAACCTGAGTGTGCATGGCAGCAGGTGTCGATGGACTTCGTCATGGGACTGCCTAACAAATTCGGTTGTAACGACGCGATATTTGTTGTCGTCGATAAGCTCACAAAGATGGCTCACGTTGTTGCCTACAAGAAAAGCATCTCAGTCGATGAAACAGCCCGCCTTTTCATCTCAACTTCCGTTCTTCTCCACGGAATTCCATCCGCCATCATGTCGGATCTTGATACAAAATTCACTAGCAACTTCTGGCGCAACCTCTGGGACCAGTTTGGCACACTTTTGCAATTCTCCTCCGCCTACCACCCCGAGACTATCGGACAGACCGAACAGGCCAATCAGACAATGGAGTAGCTGATTCGTGCCACCTGTGATGACGTGGCCAACAGCAATCGCCACTGATTGTATTCGCGTATACGCCCCGTCAGCCAATACCTGATAGTCACCATTCTACGTGAAGTACTGACAAAACTCTACAGTACCCATCACGCCCAACATCGAGAATCTTGTACCCCGAGCCCAACAGTTTGCCAAAATAAAGATTACAGAATTCCCTCGAGCGAGCAGTAGAAGCCATTAAGCGCACAAACGTTATTTCTAAGTGTAACGCCGATCTATACCAACAAGCAGTGACTTCTCAGGCTGGAGAATAGTAGTGCTCGACACTTAGAACCTTTGACTGCCCATCGTCCCAAAACTTCGCCCTCGCTACTGCGGACCATTTACGATCACCCACATAATATCTTCCGTCACAGCCCATCTCATGTTACCGGCCCATCATTTCGCGTGCGGCTGTTATAACCATACATCGCCAGCGCCCGTAAATTGCCACGTCATCGAGCCTACCTGAACATCCGACCACTCGCCAAACCTCTTGTCGAACCTGCGAAGATCCTCAGCCATCAGATCAAAGACCCTCGAGGGGCTCGCCTGATCGAGTTTCTGATATCCTGGAAGGACCGAACGCCCCTGGTAAACAGTTGGGTGCCCCTAGCATAGATTGAGAATTTCTCAGTGTTACGACTCTACCTCTAATCACACAACATGTGCGACGTTGGCGGTCTTAGCTAAGACCATACCTTGGATGGGGGAGGGTGTAAGGAAATGGTATTTCCTTATTACGGGTTTTAGTTAGTAAGGTGTACACTACTATAAAGGGATTGTCGCGCAGCTCTGCCACAAAATTCAAATCGCGGTACCCAAATGTGGCCTCTTGATGAGCCGCATGCATTTTGCCAGCCTTGATGTGTCATGCCTAGATCTGGGCGATTCGCTCTAGTTTTCAAACCACATGTCTCAGCGGTGCCAAGCCTTGACCGTGTGCTCTAGGCTAGCTATATACATGCTCCCTATTGTTTTGATGTTGCCTCATTTGTATTGTTTCCTTGATACTCAACTATTTGACACACGCTCTTTGCGCTTCATAACAGATGCCCTAATGGGTCACCCAAAATATGGCTCGACAATTACAAATGAAAATGGTGCACTTATTGTCTAACCAACCATTCACTATCTAGCATCCGTAGTTCAACCACTTTTCTACTCGTTATGCTGAATGGCTTGAGGCATGGCCGCATGGGAGGTTTCGGTGAACTCATCCTAATATACACAACTATAGCAAACCCGCTTATTAGCAATCGGGTTTCTGACAAATGGCATGCTTCAATACATGCCAACAAGTATCATGATCACGCATTTGCACAAGTATGACAACGAAGATGTTTGGTTTTAACCCGAGATACTAAAGAAATATCACCCAAGGCGTCAATCTTGTTGGCACTCATATGTATATGCATATATTAGGTACATATCTTAGTTTACAGCCTAGCTAGTGGTATACAATATTGAGTATAACACACAGATAGATTCGCTTGTTTCCTTTGCCCTAGTCACTTGTTTCTACTCTCGACATGGTATAGAGCTAGGTAGATCTCACTTCCGCCCTAGGTACTCCCCACTCCCCTATCGTTGTATCCTAGGTAGTTCCTAGGAATTCCTATCCATTCGACCCCCCTAGTCCTAGCCTGCTCCTCGCCCTTGCCAGCTCGTGCGGCCCGTAGCCCCCCGCTACTGCCACCACCTGCTCACAGCCCCCTGCCTTAGCTCGCAACCCATTGTCACTCGCTCACCCGCGCTGCCAGCGCCACCAGCACAGCCGCTCGTTGCTTGCAGCTGTCGTTGTTTGTGCAACTACCCGCGCAATCGCGCCAGCTCGGACGTCGCTCGCCACTCACTAGCTGCCCGCCACTCGCCAGCTGCATCCGCTCGCCCACCGCCAGCTTGCCAAGTTCGCCAGCTCGCTGCAACCTTGCTCGCCCAGCTCGCCAGTTCGCCAGCTTGCCCACTCGACAGTTGCCACCTCGCTCACCAGCTTGCCAGCTCGCCGCATCTCTGACAGCTCGCCAGCTTACCACCGCCAGCTCGCCGCCAGCAGCTTAGATCCTGCTGCCGCCAGCTCGCTGTTGCCCGCACGCCAGCTCGCCACTGTCAGCTTGCCAGCTTGCTGCCAGTAGCTTGCAGCCTACTGCCGCCAGCTCGCCGCCAGGACACTGCGCCAGCTTGCCGCTCACAGCTCGTCGCCAACGGTATTCTGTCAGCCCACTGCCCGCTTGCTAGTAGCCTGCAGCCACCAACTAGCCACGACTGTCGCCTTACTATGCTTGCAACTGATGCCGCCAGCCTGCCACTAGCCGCCACTGCCGCCAGCCTGCTGCCAACCACCGCTGCCTCCAACCTGTCGTTAGCTGCCGCTGCTGCCAGCCTCCTGCTCGTTGTTGCCAGTCTGCCGCTAGCTGCCACAGCCACTTACTGCCACTACCGCTAGTCTGCCGCTAGCTGCCACCGCCACCAGCCTGCCGCCGCTGCCGCTAGCCTGCCGCTCACTGCCACTGCCGCCGACCTGGCACTAGTCGTCGCTACTGTTAGCCTTCTGCTCGTTATTGCTACCCTGCCGCTCGCCTCCACTGCCGCCAGCAGGTGGCAGTGGAAGCTCCCAGCCACCAGTGGCTACGCACTAGCTGTATAGCCCACCCCTCTGCTTGTGGACTACAAGCTCTTTGCTCCTATTTCCGGTGAGTAGGTCGAGCCAAATGGTCCATACGCAGAGTTGGTGAGGTGCCTTATGTACCTGATAACGTATTTAGTATACCCTCTCAGTATTTGCTCGCTTTGTTGTGACTGCCAGACACCGACCAGTGCACTGGTAGGCAGCCAAAAGGGTGTTGTGGTATCTGGAGAGTATATCAGGACTGGGCTTGTGCTGGGAGGTCGAGAGCCAATGGCCCTCACTGGACACACAGACGCATTGTGGGCTGATGACATGGAGACACTCAGGTCCTCTCAGGGCTACTGCTTTAATCTTGGTGAGGGTGCAGTCTCGTGGTGGTCCACTAGGTCGTCATTTGTAGCTCAGTCCAGTTGTGAGGCAGAGATCTACGCTAGCTGACATTCTTGCTCACCGACTTAGGTGAGCGGCCAAGGTATATCCTGGTTCTGTTTGCTGATAACAGGGCCATAATCCTCCTGTGTTAAGAGGCTAGACTTAAGGGTAGGGAGAAGCACATCCAGTTGTGGTACTTCCTGTTGCGTGCGTTGTAGTAGTGCAGTCACGCTCGTGTAGTACAGTTGGCCTCAGAGGCCAACATTGCTGATATCTTCACCAAGGCCCAAGGGCCTCGTGACCATCAGCGGTTCTGTACTCAGCTTGGTCTAGTCTAAGCCTGATCTATATATGCTGAACTATACGTGCTGCCTTGTTAACACTTGTTGACTGGCCTTCGTACCCTAGTTTCAATGGCCAGACTACTAGTGTTGCCCTGAGCTGTTTTGTCACATACTCTTGAGGCTAAACAAGTAGTGCTGCCTTGGATTGCTGTGTGTTGCTAGACTCTACCACTATCTAGGCTAAGGGGTGTGTTGGTACTTATATATATGTGGTATACATCTTAGTTTATAGCCTAGCTAGAGGCATACTATATTGAGTATAACACTTAGATAGATCCGCCTTTTTCCTTGACCTAGTCACTTGTTTCTACTCTCGACAATCCTTATCATGTTTGGCATTTGTTCATTGCCGCTTGTAATATATCATAGTTGTATCCCATACCCATTGTAAAAGCACCTCTAGGTATAGTAAAATTAGGTATGCATACACATGTATTGTTGGAATATGGTTCTAGCGATACGAACAAACCATGCTTTCAAGCAAACAATCATACGGTAGCTTGAAGTAATTTTCGTATGTTAGATGCTTTGTAGGTGTGTTTTATGGCTATCACCTTGGACAATAATGAAAATGGGTTGTTTAGCTTAGCTTATCATTCACCTAGACATCTATGATAGGTTCATTATGCCCAAACCACAAATAATACAAACAATAGTGCTCACAAAAGTGCATTATAGGTTCTGAAAAAAGAATACGCATGATTTTTATGCATTTTTAGTTCTACGAAGCAAATAGTGTTTAGAAAACGTCTCTATTTGATCTAGCCAAGCCCCTAAATATATAGTAGCTACTTTGGTGACCGTTTTTTCCAAGGAACTTCGCAACAGAATTGTATCAGGGTCAAAGTAGCATAGGTGGCCAAAGCAACGCATGTGGTGTTATGAATTATAGCTCATAGTATAGCGCATAATACTATAGGGGAACGTGATTACAGAGTCCCCCATAATAATTAGGCATAGGAAATATATAGGGCGAGTTGACCAGGTTGGATGTCGAGGGTTGGACCAGTCAAGGGCTCGATAGTCCTGAGGGTGACGAGGTCAAAATGGGTTCAAGGCGACTCGGGATGAGGTTGGGGCCGAATAGGTCAATGGGGGCTGGTTTGGCACGAGAACCAAGGGCCGAGCCTACGGACGCAAACAGTTCGTGTGTACTCACTGTGGCGAGCCCCAGTAAGGAATCGTAATCCCTTACACTCTCCCACCTTCTAATGGAAGGCACTCCCTTTATCGATGTCGAAACTTTTATCGGGTTTAATCCCCGAAGTGACTGTAGGTCTTCAGCCCCGTGATGAGCGTTATGATTAAGCCAGCCTGACGAGGTCCTGAGGTCGAACTGAAATCGATGGCCAGAAAGCGTCGAAACGATCGCATTTTATCTCAGCTGTCAAAGTTGGTCGAATTCTTATGCTGACCAAACGGGCAAGGGTAAATACTCCAGCGGGAGACAATGAACAGTGAAACTGTCAAGTGATCGATTGATGATAACGCGTGGCAGATTAATATCTTCCGTAATGATGACTGGCGAATAACGTGATAGTCGATAAAATGTAAAACCCGTTCATCAAATGCGAGGTCGTTCGAGTCACATGCGAGAGCACGCGTCCGTGTCCCACGAAAGTCAGCAAACTCCATCAACGAAGTAATGAAATC